TAGTTAGTTTTTGTGTTTTGTTCTGTGGGATATTGTGGTAACCAACAAGCATACACAAGAAATACCCAGTTGTCCACTTTGTCAGATCTTTTATTGAGTTACCCTGGGCAGATAAAGAATGATACATGCACATATACATTAAAAAAAATTCCCAATGTAAAAGCTATAGGGCAAGATAGGTTATTAAGAGGTATGAATATTGTGTGTTTTTTTACAAGGTAAATATGGGATGTCTGTAACATGACTTTTTTTTAACTCTGTATTTAGATACAGCAACTTTTGATGAACAGTTCAGAATTCAGAACATTTTTGTGCTACAGCATGTTAATGGATTCCTGGAGGAGGAAATGGCAACCCACTCCAGTATTCTTGCCAGGTAATTCCATGGACAGAAGAGCCTGGTGGGCTATAGTCCGTGGGGTTGTAAAGACGTGACTGAAGTGACTGAGTATGTACGCATGTGTTAATGGATTAACACAGAAGAATAGGGAAGTAGAATTATTAATATATGCTTTTGACTTTAATGATTTGATTTTTGAGCTGAAAAGTTCAGGCACATTCACAGTAAATGGTGTGTAACAATGATTCTTGCCTGGAGTATCTCACTATCCTTCTTTGCAATATTAGAAAAAAAGAAAGGCCTCTGCTTTTCCCTATAAGCTACAAGGAATGGGTTTCAAGTGAGTGAAACCAGAATTGTAATAAATCTCATTATAATACTATAGAGATAATTTGATGTTAGAAAATAGGTTCTTATCTATTTATTCAGAGCATATTGTATCTTGCACTAGGCAGAAAGAATGCTAATGGAGTTGCTTTTTACTGTTGCTGTACTCTTAAGAAGCACAAGAGTGAAAAATGTGTTTAGGCTTACACGGTCATCTTTGAGCAAGTTGATCTCCTGTTTTTGACCTTCATTCATTCATTTATTCTTTATCCACTCATTCACTCATTGACTCCTGCCATAACTAACTGAGTGCCCCTCGGAGCCTTTAGTGATACTTGAGTGAATATTCAGAGATCCAAGTCCTCAGGAGATTGCAAGTGAGTGTAAAACACAATTGAACAAATAATAGCATTATGGTGTAATGAAAGGCCAGTGTTAGGGCCCTTCTTGAGTCCCTTCTGATGCGGCTCCAGCTGCTGCTGCCACTGAGGAGAGTGGAGGCCTTGAATACACTGCATCTCCCTTTTCACATCCCCACCCCCTCTCCCCAGTCATGAATTCCACCCCTTTCCCCAAAATGTGAACCTCCATTTCTTAAGTCTTGAGTTCTTAAAGGATTCACCCCCCAGCTGCAACACTTTTGTTCAATATTCCAGGGGCTTCTACCTGGCCAGTCCTACTTCCTCTGCTTCCCCTTCTCCATCTCACCAGTCACAGAGTTCCTCTAGTGTGTTAGGAACTTACTAGTTCCTCTAGTGTGTTTGGGGAAAACTGAGCAGAAGCTGGCGTGAGACTTTGTTGCAGGGTTCAGGACTGAACAACTCCCCACCTATGACTGGAATATAGTTTCCTGAAGCATCCACAAGAAGTATTGTTTGCAAAAATTCTCCTGAAATTTAAAATGGGTGTGTGCTAAGTCTGCAGAACAATTCAAATGGAAATGATATCTTTAAGTATTTTGTGTTCCAACTCATGAATGTGATACAGGTCTTGATTTGTTTGGATCTTTATTTAATATTGTTCAATAAGGTTTTATTTCTTCCTACTGAGGTCTTAATGTTTCTTTGTCATATATATTTTGAGATTGTTGATATTTCTTATTTGTCAAATACTTTTTGTACTTTTTTTAACAATTATGTTTTAAATTTAGTTTGCTCATATATGCTAAGTTCTCCCTAAAAGGAATAAAGAAAGCTCAGTTCTTTTGTCCCAGAGACCTTTCATTTGAAATGGTATCTGTCACGATCTATCAAAATATTTTATTTATTCGTGTATTTATTTATACACATACGCTCCTTTCAACTTTAGCAATACTACTCCTGGGACTTTCAGTTCAGTTCAGTCGCTCAGTCATGTCCGACTCTTTGCGACCCCATGAATCGCAGCACGCCAGGCCTCCCTGTCCATCTCCAACTCCTGGAGTTTACTCGAACTCATGTCCATCGAGTCAGAGATGCCATCCAGCCATCTCATCCTCTGTGGTCCCCTTCTCCTCCTGCCCCCAATCCCTCCCAGCATCTTTAGTCAACCAGAAATAAAAAGCACTTGTTTGTAAGGATATATGTCCATGATGTTTACTACAACATTGTTTCTTTGTTTTTTTTGGCAACGTTGTTAGTGAGGGCAATAAATTGAAAAAAGAGTAAATACCCATGAATATGCAGATGATTGAATACATTAGGTGCTGGCTAGACAAAGGAATATTATGTAGCCATTAAATGGAAATGAATGACAGCTAGTCCAGTAAGCATGAAGTGATTTCCAATGAAGTATTTGTTGAGAGAGAAAAAGAAGAGGAGGAGGAGGAAGAGTGTGTTTTATGATTTTTTTGGTAAGAATCACACCCCTGTGCATGTGTGTGTATACTTAAAATCCACGTAAGGAACCTGAACCGCAAGGCCTCATGGATTTCAAGTTCCAGATTGTAAGTAGAAGCAACCCAGGACCACTAGACCAGCAGTCCCCAACGATTTGGGCACCAGGAACTGGTTTTGTGGAAGATAGTTTTTCCCACGGATGGGGAGGGGATGATTTCAGAATGACTGATGCTCCTTACCTTTATTATGCCACCCCTGATCTAACAGGAGGCGGAGCTCTGGCGGTAATGCAAGCAGTGGGGCGTGGCTGTAAATACAGATGAAGCTTCATTCACTGGTCCGCCGCTTACCTGCTGCTGTGTGTCCCGGTTCCTAACAGGCCACAGACCAGTACTCACCCAGGGGTTGGGGACCCCTGGTCTAGATGAGCCCCACCAAGTATGTTTCCTGGAAGAAATCATTTAAAGGAAGGAAATATCCTATTGAATTTAAGATGATGAAAGTATATAGTGCACAAAACAGGCTGCTGAGAGTATGTTTAAACATAGATATATACAAAGAAGCGGTCCCCTGTCTGCCCGTATGTATTTCTTGTCCTCGATATAAGTGGGTAGACTTGTCCTCTGCTGGTGTGTTGTGAAATGCTTTGCCCTCAGTCAGTAAATGGAGAATTGAGAGTATTGCAGGCAGGCCTGTGAGCTTTGGATTTCAAGTAGCACTGTGATCCTTCGAGTTGAATAAAAAGTTCTTGTGAATTTGAGTGATTTTGGTAAAAAGTGCACTTGAAAGAAAATCCTCATAACTGCCTTCAGGAGATTCACTTTACTGCATACACAAAGATAAATGTGTTCTGATGGCATCACACTGTCCCTGGGCTGAATAATTACTTTGCTCATCCTTTCTGACCTGCTTATGAGCTGTGTTATTCAAAGGGCTGATGCTGGCTTCCACGTTATGTTTTGGCAAAATGCTCGTTCTTCTTTACTGAGGATGTTTAGGTTGTTTACTGACATATCATTCTGCAACATGAGATATTTCTCACTGTATTCCCTCCCCCTTTGTGGAATAAGTGTTCAAGAACATTTTCAACTTGCCAATCATGTGACAAGCGCTATGCCAGGAGCTGGGGATTCAGAGAGACAAGACAGGAGTTCACAGTGTGCAAGGCAAAAATGATATGATATTTTGGGGGGAGAAAAATTATGTGTAGAGGGCTTCTAGGAGGGTGGGGTGTTGAGATTAATAAGGCTTGACAGAGAAGGTGACTGTGAGTTGAGGCCTTGCAGAATGCATAGGAGTTCTCAGGCAGGAGAGTGTAGGGGAGTTGAGAGGAGAGATTTCAGTGGCAAAGAGAAGCGCAAAGTCCTAGAATGTGTAGAGCCTGGCCAGTCTGAGGAAAGACAAGTATGCCTGGAAGGAGGGTGTGTGGTGGGTGGAGCAGGGATATGTGGAAACCAGGCTTGAGAAGTAGGCAGGGGAAGATCCTGAAAGGCCTTGTTTACCATTTTGAGGAATTGACTTGCCCCATGAAGGATGGGGCTTCCCAGGTGGCACTAGTGGTAAAGAACCCACCTGCCAAGGCAGGAGACTTAAGAGTCGTGGGTTCTATCCCTGAGTTGGGAAGATCCTCGGAGAAGGAAATGGCAACCTGCTCCAGTATTCTTGCCTGGAGAATCCCATGGACAGAGGAGCCTGGAGGGCTGTGGTCCCTAAGGTTGCAAAGAGTCAGAAACAACTGAAGTGACTTAGCATGCACGCATGAAGGATGGGTACCTACCTAATGAAGGGAGGGTTGTGGCCAGGCATTCTTCTTCTTCTTTTTTTTTTTTTTTTAACAAAAACGACTTTTATTTCTTTACTTATGGCTGCACTGGGTCTTGTTGCTGCACTTGGACTTTCTCTAGCTGTGGCGAACAGGGCCTATTCTCTAGTTGAGGTCTGCAGGCTTCTCATTGTAGTGGCTTTTCTTACGGAGCGTGGGCTCCAGGTGAGCGGGCTTCAGCAGTTGCAGCTCACTGGCTCTAGAGCACAGGCTCAGCAGCTGTGTTGCATGGGCTTAGTTGTTCCATGGCGTGTGGGATCTTCCCGGACCAGGAATTGAACCCCTGCCCCCTGCATTGACAGGCAGATTCTTTATCCTTGAGCCACCAGGGAAGCCCCAGACGTTCTTCTTATGAGGCTGACTCTGGCTACAGATTGGGTGCTACCGGGGGCCGGAAGCCTGGGTGGGAAATACTGATTCCTTCATTTATTAGAAGGTAGGCTACGTTCTGTTTGTTGTTCTTAGCTGACCTTAAGAAAAAACATAGAGTCAGTGAAAACATTTTAGGACCATGGACATCAAAGATAGTTCAAGATGGTCTACCAGGGCCCATGTAATCAATAGGAATGTTAAATGTTTGAGGTAGAAGCCTTTGAAGTTTCATGTATTTTTAAAAATATATACTTTAGAGATTGGGGATTAGTTATTGGAACTGGCCCCTTTTCTAGATTTCTGATACTGTTTATCCTTATAGGTGATACTCTCTGGAATCATAGGATTAACAACATGGAAGCGACCTATGATACTCCTGGTATGTACTGATCTTATAAATTTTTACCCTTTGTAAAATGTGCTGTTTATGAAGTGTATAGAGGCAAATTGTTGAAATGCTAAAGCTTTCTTGTTCCTTAAAAATAGAAGTTAACAATGGACACTATTATCCAGATGTCCTCATAATAGTAAAGTGAGATGATAATTTTGCTATACGTGTGTTTCAAGTTCCAGGATTAGCCTTGTCGTAAAGATATAACAAACACAAAGCAAAGCAAAACGAAACGGCTTACTCTGAACATTCTGATCATACACAGAGTGGAGGGAATGATATAATGGACTCCCTGCGCTGGTCATTCAACTTCAACAATTATCAACTCTTAGCCAGTCTTGAGGAATTCTCCACATTCTTTTTCTTTCTCATTCTTTTAAAGGAAATCTCGGCTTCAATCATGAATACATTATTTTTTATTGTTATAATGTTTTGGTTGGAAAATCTCAGAAATTCCTTGCTTAGATTCCCTATATTCTCTCTTTATCACGTCTATTATATTTTATCACGTATATTTTCATGGCAATAGAGGCATATATTATTGACTTTGTCCTTTTTTAAGGTATTGAGGTAAAACTCGCATAGTATAAAATGCACCATTTTAAAGTGTACAGTTCATCCTTTTTTTTATTATTATTATTACTTTTATTTTTTTTTCCCATTTTTTGTTATTAGGTGGAGGCTAATTACTTTACAGTATTGTAGTGGTTTTTGTCATACATTGACATGACTCAGCCATGGATTTACATGTATTCCCCGTCCTTTGTTTTTATTTGCTGTGTCCTTTTGATTCAGTAAATGCTATAAAAAATAGACAAATGTGCAGAGAGGCTAACGTACAAGGATGAGGTAGAGGATCTAGGCAATTTGATATGAAGTATAATTAAAAATTATTTTTTCTGTATAGCATCTTTTTTTATTTTTTTCCTATCCATTTCAAAATAGGGTTAAATGATTTTCTAAACTCATTCTGTAAATATACTTAATCCAGCCAGACTGTCCTTCAGACTATTGTTTGCAAGGTGATGGGTAACAAATATAAAACTAGTTAAATTCTTCCATACAAGGAGGAGGAGCACCTTTTAAAATGCAATGAGAATAATGGTACTGTGTCTTGAAAAACCTGGAGAGTTTTCAGACCCAGAAGACAATGCAGGCAACACTTTATAACATTTCACATCCCATTTGGTGAAACTTTGCTAATATTTCCAGGAGGAACAAATTATTGATGCAGTATTTTAATATATTAGACTGCAGGATAGGAGAAAAGGAGGCTTTGCATGAATCTTGTGGCGTGTGCTATGTGTGCCTGGGGTTTGTTTTGCAACAGCTCTCTAGGTTACAGTCTCTGCAGAAAAATTTTTGATAGTGTTCAGTGTTTATACTAGTATTTCACTATACGCGTCGTCTTTGCACTGTCCTTTTCCATTGGGTCATTATTGAAGCTCAGTGAACCTCAGGTATTTAAATAAATTAAAATCAGAAAAAAAATGAATATCAGAAAGCTATCTAATCTAATGCTATTTTTACTTTTAAAATTTCAAATGGTGAAGAGAGTGACTGCTTGTTCTAGATAGATATTAAGAAAGTCCACCTTTTACAACATTTCTTTCTTTAACACTCTTTTCTTGTGGAAAGGTGCCTTGTGAATTTATTCTGTGAGCTCAAGCAATTTTAACTGAAAATAACCCTAATAAAAATATATTTCTCATTTTCATTGATAAGTATATGAACTTTGTCACAAAGTTGTAACCAGTTTGTGCATATCATGTGCCTGCTTTTTCTGTTTAATATTAAATTAAGTTCATATCAGTAGCTATTATGTTTTCCTGAGCAAGGAGTTCATATGCCTATCACTCAGAATTGCTAAGTAGCTTTTTGTCATATTTCTATATTACCTTTGGTTGTTGAGTCTGTTGGACATTTGAGCTTCTATGTTTTGATTGTTAAGAATATGTATTTAGAAGGCCATTTAGTGATTATTCTGAAATGTTAATTAACATCAATTTATAAAGAAGATAAATTAATTGACAGGAATTGTGCAAAGGAAAATTTTGTGAGTATATCAGTAGGTCATTTGAGCCTTCAGTTCAGTTCAGTCGCTCATTCGTGTCCGACTCCTTGTGACCCCATGAATCGCAGCACGCCAAGGCCTCCCTGTCCATTACCAGCTCCTGGAGCTTACTCAAACTCACGCCCATCGAGTCGATGATGCCATCCAGCCATCTCATCCTCTGTCGTCCCCTGCTCCTCCTGCCCCCAATCCCTCCCAGCATCAGGGTCTTTTCCAATGAGTCAACTCTTCGCATGAGGTGGCCAAAGTACTGTGGTTTCAGCTTCAGCATCAGTCCTTCCAATGAACACCCAAGACTGATCTCCTTTAGGATGGACTGGTTGGATCTCCTTGCAGTCCAAGGGACTCTCAAGAGTCTTCTCCAACACGACAGTTCAAAAGCATCAATTTTTCGGTGCTCAGCTTTCTTCGCAGTCCAACTCTTACATCCATACATGACCACTGGAAAAACCATAGCCTTGACTAGACAGACCTTTGTTGGCAAAGTAATGTCTCTGCTTTTTAATATGCTATCTAGGTTGGTCATAACTTTCCTTCCAAGGAGTAAGCGTCTTTTAATTTCATGGCTGCAGTCACCATCTGCAGTGATTCTGGAGCCCAGAAAAATAAAGTCTGACACTGTTTCCACTGTCTCCCCATCTATTTCCCATGAGGTGATGGGACCAGATGCCATGATCTTAGTGTTCTGAATGTTAAGCTTTAAGCCAACTTTTTCAATCTCCTCTTTCACTTTCATCAAGAAGCTTTTTAGTTCCTCTTCACTTTCTGCCATAAGGGTGGATGGTGTCATCTGCATATCTGAGGTTATTGATATTTCTCCCGGCAATCTTGATTCCGTCTTGTGCATCTTCCAGCCTAGCGTTTCTCATGATGTACTCTGCATTTAAGTTAAATAATGTGTATGTGTTAATCAGTTGTGTCTAACTCTTTGCGAGTTAGACATGGACTATAGGTCACCAGGCTCCTCTGTCCATGGAATTCTCCAGGCAAGAATACTGGAGTTGGTTGCCATTCCCTTCTCCAGGGGATCTTCCCAATGCAGGAATCAAACCTTGGTCTCCTGCATTGCAGGTGGATTCTTTACCATCTGAGTCACCAAGGGAGCCCATTGAGCTTTAGTCAGTATAATAAACGAAAAAAACAGTCTGTGTGAATCTTAATTGTATATCATTATAACCTGTGCCAAATGATTTTGTTATGTTAAAAAGCAAAATGAAAAAAAACAATGTGCCCGTCAGCCACTCCTAGTTTGAGCCCTAGCTCTTCTGTGGAAGAGTTGTGTCACTCTGTGAAGCCACTTGACTTTCCAGTGTCTGGTTTTCTTTTCTGAACGGAGAGGATAATCTAGTGATACCATGGGGTGGCTCTGCCCCCCGCCCCCGCCCCGGGATACTTTTTTTCTTTTTTTGCCCCGCAAGCATCGCCCTTTGTGAGTTTAGGGAATCTGTGGCTGGATGATGTGAGTGGGAGGCTGTGTTCATTAGAGAAACCAGAAGTGCCCATGTGTTTTCATCACAGACCCCAGCTGAGCTGGTCTGAGTTACAGCCCTACTCACCGCCACATCCCACACTTTACCGACGGGTGCCTTCTGACCCTGGCACAGCCGGGCTGTCCTTCACAGACTAGGACCATCCTCTTCTGGGTCTCAGCTCAGCAGTCATTTTGAGGGAGAGATACCTTCCTGAACCACCCTGATTGAGTGGCCCCTCCTCCATGCCCCTCACCTGGTCCCAGCCTCAGTACTGGCTCCTGGATCTGAGAGCAGCCTGAGTGCTTTTCTTGGGTGAACCTCTCCTGTGCCCCCAGTGGATGGTCAGTCAGTTCTGTGAGGACAGGAGTCTCTCCCCAGGATCAGGGAACTCAAGACGTACTTCTTTTTGAACAGTGGGCTTACTCTGGCAACCAATAAGCTGTTTAGGTTCTGGGTTACTTCTCAAAGTTTCTCTTTTTGTCTTAAATGTTTCTCACTTGTTTTTGTCCTCTGAACTTTGTGTTTACCTGCTTTTAACTTTAGGGGGGTTAGCGAGTATTTTGGTGGCAGACTTTGGGAGGGGGCTGGTTGGTCTTTTCAGGGGCTTTCCAGTGGCAAGCTGTTCTCAGGCTTGAGTGGCTGTGGGCACACAGGTCTAGAACACTTGAGCACTTCCTTTTGAGAGCTGTTTGCATTTGTGCTCCTTTTTGTGTTGTTTCAGTGATTACATCAGGTTTATACTGGTTTGAACAAAGAAGGGCTGGTTTGACCTAGTTCCTTCAAACCCCAGTTTTCATGGAAACTCAGAGTTGGAAACTTCCATTCACTGAGTCCTCTTCCTTTTATTGACAAAATACTCAGATGCCAGAACAAAAATACAATGTTGGGAGATACTTTGTGAATGTTTGTATCTGTTTTGGCTATGACTGGAATTAGGATTGGGGGTGTGTGTATGTGCATGCATTTGTGTGTATATGTTGGGGGTGTTCTAAGAAAAGTACTTGAAAAGTTTCTGTCAAGATCAAACATTTTTAAAAGAATGGTCTTATTTTTTTCTAGTTATCATTCATTTTTTCATTCTAATAAAATGTAGATTTTTTAGAAATCATAGATTTGGTGCTGGGAATGACCTCCAAGACTGTTTTACCTAGGCACCTCAGTTGGAAAATGGAATTGTCTTGGTAAGATAGTTGCAGAATGGGTTGACTGGACCTGATATCCCAGGTAGAGAGCCCCTGTCTCAGCCAGGGAAGTTATTTTCATATTGAATTTGCACAGCCAGTAATTAAACCATGCTGAGACTGGAATAGCACAAGCTTTAATTGATGGACAGAGGATAGAGAAGAGGGAGCCTAGTTCACAAATCAACTTCTCAACCCAGTTTGGGTGAGAGACACCAAATGTATAGGAGAGTCGAGGTAAAAGGGAGGGAACTGGAAAGA